TGGGCAGGAAGCCTGCTTCTCCCTCTCCCACTTCCCATGCTTGTGTTCCCTCTCTCGCTGTCTCTCTCTGTCAAATAAATAAATAAAATCTTAAAAATAAATAAAATCTTAGGAAAAATGTGAAGCAAAAGAAGCAAGTTGCAGGGTACATAGTAGAATAACAAATTCAAAACACAGCAGAGTGAACTGTATTGTGTAGGGATACATGCATATGTAATATGACTAAGGAAAATCATAGGAATGATTACATCATAATGGGGTTGCTTCAGAAGTCTTGTAGGTTACTGGTAATGGTCTTTTTTTTTTTTAAGATCTTATTTATTTGACAGAGAGTGACACAGCGAGAGAGGGAACACAAGCAGGGGGAGTGGGAGAGGGAAAAGCAGGCTTCCCGCTGAGCAGGGAGCCAATGTGGGGCTCGATCCCAGCACCCTGGGACCATGACCTGAGCTGAAGGTAGACGCTTAATGACTGAGCCACCCAGGCGCCCCTGGTCTATTTCTGAGAAGTTTTAGGTTTCATAAATGCTCCCTTAAATAAAAAATATTTCATAATATAAAAATTAGCTTAAAAAGGGATCATAAAGAAGAATTGTAGGCTATAATTTTTAGTTTTAATTTGCGCTGTATGTTACTCTGTTACATGGTCCCTCACATAAATACAGCATAGTTTTGTTTTAGTAAAATATTGGAGATTGGTGACAGATGGAGGTTGTTAGCAAATGAGAGATACGGTTTCCTTTTTTTTTCTTTTTAATATTTTATTTATTTATTTGATAGACACAGTGAGAGAGGGAACACAGGGGGAGTGGGAGAGGGAGAAGCAGGCTTCCCACTGAGCAGGGAGCCCGATTGCAGGACTCGATCCCAGGACCCTGGGATCATGACCTGAGCTGATGGCAGACGCTTATTGACTGAGCCACCCAGGCGCCCCTAGAGATACTGTTTTCAATCTTTAAAAAAAGTCACTAGTTTGAGAAAAATCATAAATGCATAAAACATTACTGGTAGAATATGGAATTTAGCAGTTTGTGGGTTGACAGAATTAAAAGAGCCTTTTAATTTTCATTAGATAACCTTTTGTACTCTAAATGTTTTACAGTTAAAGCTGTGCAATTAAAAGAATTTCAGTCACATAAGATATTTCAAAAAGTTTAAATGTGTCATCTGCATATCAAAACTTGTGGGATGATCTGACTCAACACATCTCAGCTCTGAAGCAGTATTAATTAGTGATTCACACCTGGCTTCTAACATTGGTAAACACAGAAACAAATGCTTCCTTGGTAGAACTTTTTACTCTGTCGTGTTTATATTGCATTTAGTACCACTGTAATATTTTCTCCCACTTTATCTTCTATGAGACTTTGAACTCGTTGACTGTAATTTTGCAAGTTGCAGCATCTTGGTAACTTTCTGGAACAAATCTCTGAAGTACTATAATCAATTTGTTTATAGATACCTTAGATAGAACTTTAGGAGACAAACGGCATCTTGTGACTGTAGAACTGGAAGTAAAACCAATTGAAACATCCTCTGTTACGCCAGTTATCAAGTATGCTGCAGGTGTTAGTGAAGACCTTCTGAAGGTCTCCCAAGAGGCCATTGAAAATGGAATTCACAGTGCATGCCTCCAAGGTAAGGTACTGAAATAAGAGTAAGCTTTAGTATCACAAGTCGACCACTGAAGTCACTCCTAATATCATAGATTATTTCTGTCCTTCTTTCCAGCTTCGGCAGTGTTTTCTTAGTATCTCTTCTGATTATGTGTATGTTACACCTTTTTCCATTGTCCCACAGTGCTTGGATATTCTGTTCTGGGTGGGAGTTTTGTTTTGTTTTTTTCCAGTCTTCAGTTTGCTTTTCACAGTTTTAGAGGTCTCTATGGATACAATTTCTTTTTTTTTTTTTTTAAAGATTTTATTTATTTGTCAGAGAGAGCTCACAAGCAGGGAGAGCGGCAGGCAGAGGGAGAAGCAGGCTCCCCTCTGAGCAAGGAGCCCGATGTGGGGCAATGGATACAATTTCTAACTCAGTACTTTCTTCAGCTGTGTCCAGTCTACTTATAAGCCCATCAAAGACATTCTTCATTTATTTTACTGTTTTTGATTTCAAGCATTTGTTTTTGGTTCTTTTTTGGGACTTCCCTCTCTCTCTGCTTTATTTTTTAATTTTTATTTATTTTTTAAAGATTTTATTTATTTGACAGAGAGACACACAGCGAGAGAGGGAACACTAGCAGGGGGAGTGGGAGAGGGAGAAACAGGCCTCCTGCCGAGCAGGGAGCCCGACGTTGGGCTCGATCCCAGGACCCTGGGACCATGAACTGAGCCTAAGGCAGACGCTTAACAACTGAGCCACCCAGGCGCCCCCCTCTCTCTCTGCTTTAATTGCCCATCTGTCTGTTCTTGCATGTGGTCTACTCTGAGTCCTTAGCATATCAGTCATGTGATGGGATCATTACAACATCCTTACCGTGTCTGGTTCTGATGCATGTTCTGTATTCATATTGTGCTTTTGCTTTTTAATATACCTTGTAATTTTTTCCTGATGGCCAGACACGATGTACTGGGTAAAAGGAATGGCTGTAAACATGCCTTTAGTAATATGGAGGTCAGGTGTTGGGGAAGGGAAGCATTCTCTAATCCTAGGATTAAGACTCAGTCTTATAGTGAGCCCATGCCTCTAGACTAGGAACTGCACATTTCTTTTTTCCTTTTTTTTTTTTTTTCTGCTGGCCTCAGGTTGGACAGGATGGCTAGGGTGGACTGGAGTTTGGTACTTCAGTCAAGTTGGTTAGGTCCTGCTCATGCTGGACCTGCTGGTTAGGCTCTAGTTAACTAGTTTCCCCTGACAGCAGGCCTTTGTACGAACAGTGTGTTCTGGAGTATTTCAGAATGGTTTCTTTACCCTTCTGTCAGAAGCATAAGGGGATTTTTCTCTGATACTTATGGTAAGAACCTGCTTGAGCTCCTGGAGGTAAATCTCAAAAAATTTGGGGGGAGTCCCCCTTATGATTTATGTATGACTGGGTCCCCTTGGCATTCTTACCTCCCAGACTTGTCCACCCTGAGCCTCCAGCAGTTCATCAATTATAGTTGAGGATTTCCCACCCTGGCGGTGGTCCCTGGGCTAGTGAGCCTCTGTTCTAGGAAGCTGTGACTTCTGGTGTTCACCTGTCTCTCGAGTGTTTGGGGCAGTGAGTTTGTCCTTTGTCTTCTCCTCTCTTACGGATCCGAGAAGAGTTGCCGATTTTTCAGTCTGTTTCGCTTCTTACTTGCTGGGTCAGAGTGACAACTTCTAAGCTGCTTACGTGAACTGGAAACCAGAAGTCCTCTCCCTGTCTTTACTCCTCATTGCATGTTGCGTGCTAACACAGTTGTTTTTCCCCTTGCCTAGGACCATTGCTCGGATCCCCAGTTCAAGATGTGGCCATTACCTTACAGTCGCTGATCATTCGTCCTGGTACCTCCACGACGATGATTTCTGCCTGTGTGTCGAGATGCTTACAACAGGTATAGGACTGTCCTGTGACCCTTCTTGCTCGAAGGTGGCTGTGCTGATAGCAGTGCACCGTTGCTGCTCGGGCAGCCGTGCTTGGCAGGGCCTCACACTTGTCCTGTCGCCTTCTCGGCCTTAGAGTCAGGAAGGGTTCTTGCCTCGGGGCATCTTTGACTTCTTCATCCCACGGTTATATTGGAAGAGGACCTGGAAAATTACTGTTTAGCACTATGGCCAGGAAATCGCCTCTGGTTTTGGCAAAGACGTAGGTTTCCTTCCCTGGCATTTCTGGTTTCCCCCTCCCAGACACATACCTATTAGAGGTCAGCGTGGTGGTTTGAGTAGGGGACATTTTGGGGGTCAGCCGGGCCCAAGATGAACTATAATCGAAAGAACATTGAAGATGCAGTATTAGTTCCAATTCCGGAGTCCCTGTTTATCTGAATAAGATTACCTTAATCAAAGATCATTGAAATCAGACAAGTCTCGCAGAAGAAAAGGTTCAGGATAAGCACCTAACTTTACGAAAGCATCAAGCAATCTAGTCTTCTTGGCATGGTTACCTCCCTGTATGTCCTTGAGTGTCTTGCCTCAGTAAGCTACCAGAGCTGAATTAACTTACGGGATCTTAGTGCTAAATGCTGACTCTGCATTCCTCTCAGTGTGGTAATACTGTAGTTTTGTAGGTGACTGATTTGCATTAAAGCACTTGCTTTTTAAAACAATATTCTAAAATTTTTGATTGTGTTTGAGACTTGATTTTCTACAGCTCATTTGAATCCAAAATTATGAAGCTAATGTAAATACCCTAAGTCCCTGACTTATGAAGGTAGAACTTAGTGTCTCATTTATGTCAGTTCAAGTTCATACTTTTTTTTTTTAAGTAGGCTCTACGCCCAGTGTGGAGCCCACTGTGGGGCTTGAACTCATGACCCTGAGATCAAGATTTGAGCTGAGATCCAGAGTCTGACACTTGTTCAGCTGAGCCACCCAGGCACTCCTTAAGTTCATGCTACTTAAAATTCTTTTATTTAAAAAAAAAACTGTACATTCAAAAAGCATTATTTAAATATTGTTTGCTTAAGCACATAGTTAGAAATATTACCTGTAAATCAGTCATGATTAAAATGTTGAGAATATTTCCAATAATTTTTTAAAATTGGTTTTAGTTAACAGTAACCTGAAAGATGTCATGTTTCTAAATTAACCCCAAGCCCCATTATATTGGTCAGTCCTTCAAAATCTTAATATGCCTTCTAAAAATCTGTGTTTCTGAATTGGATAGTCTGTTTATTAAGTTCATTAATTAACTTCATGGGGGCTTACATTTAATCTTTAGTTTTTATACATGAAGTACTCCTGATAGAAGTACTGCAGGCCTTGTTAAGCTTCATCTAGTAGGGAAGCTTCTGCTTATTAGAAGTTAATGACGCTTCCTGTATTTATTGAGCCATCTTTGTTGAGCTTACAGTACACTGTGCACTGAGATGGACACAAATGGGATATGTACGTTTGTCTTGAACTAAAGGACCTTAAGGTTTGTAAGATGAGGGCCGCCTGGGTGGCTCAGTCAGTTAAGCGTCTGCCTTCGGCTCAGGTCATGATCCCTGGGTCCTGGGATCGAGCCCCACATCAGGCTCCCTGCTCCATGGGAAGCCTACTTCTCCCTCTCCCTCTGCCTGCCACTCCCCCTGCTTGTGTTCTCTCGCTGTCAAATAAATAAGTAAAATCTAAAAAAAAAAAAAAAAATTTATAAGAGGATTAATTTTATATCCAAATAGCCAAAATATTAGAGCAGACTGGGAGTTGTAAAAATGAAGTGAGGAATTAGAATTTTTAATTTTTTATTTTAAATCAATTTAGTTAACATATAGTGTATTATTATTTTCAGGGGTTGAATTGAGTGATTTATCAGTTGCTTATAACACCCAGTGTTCATTACATCATGTGCCCTCCTTCATGCCCATTACCCAGTAACCCCATCCCCCCACCCAACTCCCCTCCAGCAACCCTCAGTTTGTTTCCTACAGTTAAGAGTCTCTTACGGTTTGTCTCCCTGTTTTTATTTTTCCTTCCCTTCCCCTATGTTCATCTGTTTTATTTCTTAAATTCCACATATGAGTGACATCATACGGTATTTGACCTTCTCTGACGTATTTTGCTCAGTGTAATACCCTCTATTTCATCCACATCGTTGCAGATGGGGAATTAGGATTCTTGGAAGGAATATATGAGCTGTGAATTTTGGGGGCATTCCAGAAAGGGAGAGATTGAGGAGTCCCTTCAGCTGTAGTATCAAGATGAATGCAGAGTAGTAGGGAAAAACTGTTGGAAAAGTAGAATGGAGTCAGGCCATAGAGAAATCTTTCAAAACTACACTGAGGAGTTTGAGGTTTGTTTTGAGAACAGTGGTGAAAATTTTCAGGTTTTGAAGCAGGCAGTATAATCACTGGAATATAGGAGGAACTAGAGGTAGGGAGGAGATAGTCTGGGACAGAGAATGGACTGGGTCTGAACTAGGATATTGGCAATAGGAATGGAAATCTTATAGCTACTTTGGGAAAAGAAAGTCAAAGATGTTTGACCAGGTGAATTGAAGATTATGAAGCCATCAGCAGAAATAGGAAAGAGCAGAGAAAAATGTTTACAGAAGGAAATGATGAGGTCATCTGCTGCTGTGGGGTATTTGGACACTGTCCTAAAGCAGGCCAGTAGGGTACAGGGCTGGAGCACTCAGACTGTAGTCTGTGTGAAGTATGAAGGTTTTGAGGAAGCTACACTGATGTTTTTGAAACATCCAAGAGAAAGAATGTGAAAAGAGGACTGAGGACAGAAGCTGTGTATCTTAGTTACATATGTAGCATTCAATCCTTTCCTTGGTTTTAGCATTTTTCCTTTTCCCATTCCATTATTTTGTCCCAACAGACATTATGTGAAGCTCTGCGTAGGAACTGCAAAAAGAGAAGATACATAGTTGTTTGCTGTTGACGGTCATTATTTTTTAGTAGTATTTTCATTCAAGAAGGACTGTTAAGATACATTTTCTCTAGATGAGTCATTTCAGGTGGTTAGATTTTTTTTAAGATTTTATTTATTTGACAGAGAGAGAGAGAGCACAAGCAGGGGGAGAAGCGGACTCCCCGCCGAGCAAGGAGCCCAATACAGGGCTTGATCCCAGGACCCTGGGATCATGACCTGAGCCACCCAGGCGCCCCACAGTTTGGTTAGAGTTTAAAGCTATGAAGAACTGATTGTTTTACTATGTATGTATGCTATGTTTTGAAATTTCGATAATAATGAGAATATACTCCTGGTTTTAGTAATGTGGCCATTTTTCATGATTGTGCAGGGGAGGGGCAGGAGAAGAGGTGGGGGAGATGGTGACTGATCAGGGACAATAGGATTTAAGGCCCACAACCTTTAGTTAATACAGACAGTGAAAATGCCCCCTGTAAGGCCTTAGTAATAATGAGAAGTGAGTGGTGGTGGAGTGGGAACAGAATAATGAACGGTTAACAGTAAAGGTGAAGGCCCATTCCAGAGCCCTAGCTCTCTTACTTAGTTTCCATTGCTAGGTCTCTGTTAAATTAAGTCCAACCTCATAACCAGAAGCTTAGAATTTCTAGGAAATGGTTTTGTTATTTTTTTTTTTAAAGATTTTATTTATTTGACAGAGAGAAACACAGCGAGAGAGGGAACACAAGCAGGGGGAGTAGGAGAGGGAGAAGCAGGCTTCCCGCTGAGCAGGGAGCCCGATGCGGGGCTCGATCCCAGGACCCTGGGACCATGACCTGAGCCGAAGGCAGACACTTAACGACTGAGCCACCCAGGCGCCCCGGTTTTGTTATTTTTGAACTCTGGCAGGCTCCAACAGTAGGATAGCTTTTAAAATCAAACCCACTGGTACTTACAGTGCTTGCTTATGCCCTCCAAAACCCATTAACCAATTTGTCTGATGTAGTGGTAGTCGGAAAGACTGTGTCTGATGGGGACTCCAATTCATTTGTTCCGTCCGGTACTCACTTGCCCTTTGCGCCACACTGGCTTTTTTCAGTTTGCCTGTTATTTATGTGCCGCTTGTTCTTGCCTTTTGTCGAGAATGTGTTTCTGCTACCTTATTGTAGTACATTTCTTGATTTGCCCTGACACAGACTGTATCTATTCTAGGCATCAGGAACAAAACACGTGGTGTCAACAAGAAAGAAATTCTTTGATTGGAAGGGGAAAACCATTTTATTTCCTTGTATCTCTGGCCACGTGTTCATAGGTGCTCTATATAACCAAGCTGTACTAAGCACCCCCTTGCCATGTACCTGATTTCTTATAGACAGTTAAAGCAGGCTTATATGTCTTTTTGCTAGAGCTCTAGGCTTACAAGGACAGGCAAAATTTAAGTTTTTATGAATCTTTAACTTCTTTAGGCTCTGAAGAAAGCTGATAAGCAAGTTTTAGAGCCCCTGATGAATCTCGAGGTGACAGTGACGAGAGATTACCTAAGCCCTGTTCTGGCAGATCTGGCACAAAGAAGAGGAACCATTCAGGAAATCCAGACTCGTCAGGAAAACAAAATTGTTACTGGATTTGTTCCCTTAGCAGAGATTATGGTAGGTAATTATTAACCATCTTTTTTTTTTTTTTAATACTGGGGTATTTATGCTGAAAAAAGTAGGCAATCAGGGCTTTAATGGGATGCATGGTAAGTCTGAACTCAGGTCACTGGATCAGGTTGAGGTGTGCTGTGTACCAAACTGGCACCAGCCTCAGTGGCCGTTTTTTCCCCTTCCAAGCACTTTCTGAAATGCCTAGTCCAGGGAGTGCCTCTGAAGCATACCCATACTATTCAGTTACCTGCCCTCCACAGTATCTTGGTATCACATAGTTCCTGACAAAATGGTTACGTAAGTCACATGAGTAACATCATCCCCTTGCCTGAAGATGGTGAAAAGAGCAGCAGGAAGAGATACATGAGGCTTAAATTTAGTAACTAACGTAAATTATTTTGATTAGGGTTATTCAACTGTGCTTCGAACGCTTACCTCTGGCTCGGCTACTTTTGCCTTAGAACTCTCTAATTATCAAGCCATGAATCCTCAAGACCAAACTACACTGCTCAGCCGGCGAAGTGGCTTGACCCAGGTGCTTTAGGTCTTTGGAGACAACCTCACAAGCACTTTCAGTAAGTATACTAAATAAACTGACAGTGGCACTGGAGCTGCCCGTTCTATAGAATGAGAGCGAATGTTGAAAGGTATGTACATGACCTATATTGTGTATAAAGTTATTACTATGGAATATATTCAGTGTCACCGCAAGGGGTTTTTTGAGCTGCTTTCACAAGCAAGATGCATGTATGATAAAGGTTCAATATTTAAAAAGATGTATTTTATTTAAAAACAGGATACGAAATCTTACTGTCCATGATTTCAAGATCAAGTTGATTGTAGTACAGATTGCTGTGGACTTTGTTCCCTTCTATTTTCTTCTTTGTTTAGGCTCAATCTTTTGTTTCATACTCAGTAGTTACAATATCCAGTAAAGAGAGGTTCTGCAGCTATTCCCCGTCTGTAGAACAGATGAATTACATCAATCGTTCATACTTTAACTCCATCATAAAGAACTCAGTTTAAGTCAAAATCACCAACCAGAGCATTAATGAATGAAAAAAAGACTTACAGTGGTTCAAGATGGATTTAAAAGTTCAAATATCTGTTATCAGTGATTTAATTAGGGGCTATACGTTTCTATTTATAGAAAAAAAAAGTTAAAGATCACCCCCGCCTTTGTGTTGTAGCTTTAAAAATGTCTTACCTGACCATTCTGCAGCGGTGAACTGTTAGTCTATTGTAGGCATCCTCTATATCTTTGATGCCCTTGGGACTCCAGAGTCTCTCACCAATGGCACTTGCCCGAGGCCTGAAAATTAAACCACACGTTCATCAAAGCAATTTAAATTCATGTTTACTTAAATATCTATGCTTGGGAAAATTTCTAGTGTTTTCCTACTTGGAGGGAGAAGGAAAAATAAGGGACTTTAATTTTTAATTCAAATGTTACTACTTAAATTCCATACCATAATCTTGGAGTGAGATTAGTTGCATCCACGTATTCTCCCCATAGACACGCTTCTCCACCAATAACAAGTTTTTTCTGTTCTTGAGAACCTACATTAAAATCATTGAATTGATGTAAATCAAGTAGTTGCTCAAAGCTTTTACATGAAGGCAATTATTGACACCAAAAAAGGGTAGCAAACTTTATTCCCACAGGTGCTTGTTAGCGTATTTTGACTTTCAATTTTACAAAAACTTATTTGGGTTCCAGAATCATTTTTCCCTAGTGACTGTCACTTTAACAGTAATTAGGACTTTCTAATACTTTGTCAAGAAAGTGATGTCAATTCCTAATAGGCCTATAGTTTTGAAATACATTTTAACACTAACATCCTTTTTCTTGAAGGAAATTTTGTGAAATGTTCTTAAGGAAGAGGGTCTGAGCCCAAAGCTCCACCATTCTCCAACAGCCTGAAATCCATGGAACTGGAGTATAGACTTCCTTGCGTCTTACAATGGAAAGGCCCATCAAAAGAGGATATGATACAAGGTTAATGCAGTCAAGGGGCTTTAAAATTTAGGGTGTAAATATAGGGTGTTATAGGGGCACCTAGGTGGCTCAGGTCAGGATCCCAGGGTCCTGGGATCGAGCCCCGCATTGGGCTCTGCGGGAAGCCTACTTCTCCCTCTCCTGCTCGTGTTCCTTCTCTCGCTGTGTCTCTGTCAAATAAATAAATAAAATCTAAAAAAAAAAAACCTAAAGAAATCTACTTTTGTCTTTCACAAAGTTTAAAATGTACTGGGGCCTTTTTTTTTTTCTTTTTTTAAGTAAACAAATAGTTTTCTTCCCTATCTCCCACCGGGATATTACTGACTATATACTAACGAATCAATGTAATGATGGGTGCTTCACTTACCATCAAAATCAAGAGGGTCCACTGTATAGTACTTTCTCCAATCTTGTCCGTAACTAATCCAATCTAAGTACCAAGGAGCAGAAAGGATCACAGGGAAGCCAGCTGCTGTGACCTGAGTTTGTTCTTCATCATACTTTTCATTTTTCCATACTTGAACAACCGTGCCTGGCTGAAGCTATGTATGATGAGGTCCAACAATTAAAAATGAAATTAAAAAAGTCATTGTAGCTAGGAACATGACTTCCGAAGATTCTTGAAAAAACATACATTTTCCCCTTCAGAGTTAGTACTAAGTGTTACTGGTTGTAGGGCCTTAAAATTAGAAGTTTCATCAACCTTAAGGTTGGATATTTAACTTCTGCCTATATACAACACCATATATTGGGATAATGAACTAAGGCTTTATTCCCATTTGTACCACACTACTGTTGTTCTTGCTTTGGAACTTTGAGGATGTCACTAACCCTTCTGGAAAGATACTACTAGTAGCTGGATTTGAAATTGTCAGTTACCTGAGGGGGGAAAAAAAGCATATACATTGACAGTTTAAAACTACCTTTGTAGCAATAAAGACTCATTCATTCTTGTTTGTTCTGCCCTTACGAAAAAAGAACTTCAGAGTACTCTGATATGTGACAAATGGTGGTGGGAAGGAGGTGGTACTAGTCTCAGTCTACAGCTACTGCCTAATCAAAGTTTAAACTCAAAGGTAAGCTAATTCCCCATCATGCTGGCAACAACTTTATTAGGGTTCCTTCTTTCCAAGATGTTAAAAGAGTTAAGTCTCTCATATCAGAATCAAATGCAGTCTTCATACTTCTTACCTTCGCGTGATCATCAAAAACCTCTTGCCAGACTATGGCTCCCTTGTTGATAGTTGAAACAATACCCAAAAGCCTACCGTTGGGGGGAAAAAAAGTTTATTTCGGAGCACAAGCTTAACAATGTGTTTAATGCATGAACCTGTTCTATAAAGGATTGCAGTGTTGGGAGCTGCCTTTCACTACAGCACCGCTTTATAGCAGCGCCTGCTACAGTTGGGTCGCGACCCAGTGTGGTTCCTTCTTTCCAGCACATGGCTCAGAATGTCACACAGCAGAGGGGTTTAAAAGTTATTTGCTGAATGAACATGCTCAGCATGTCCCAAAGTGGGGAAGACATGGCAACTCACAGGATAGTACACAAACCACAATCTCTGGTAATTGCATGGGTATCTTCAAATAAACTGTAATTTAGCCTATGGTGTCAATTACATAGCATTCAACAACTGCTGACAATCAGTCCACGAATATTTCCCGGTAAATGCCAGGTATTCTACAGGATTAGAAAATTAGAATGTACCACACAAAAAGCAAAACAAGGCTAGAATCTGACCTTCCTTAATTCAAGATTTGGCAAATGACAGCCTACAGCCTGTTTTTGTATGGCTCATTAGCTAAGAATGGTTTTCACACTTGTAAATATTGTTTAAAAAAAAAACAAGACTACTATGCAACCAGGGGCCCATGAAGCCTAAAATATTTACTATCTGGCCCTTTAAAGAAAACGTTTACTTATCACTAGTATAGGACAGTGCCATTCAGTCTAAGTCTGCAACGATGGAACAGCCACTAGCCTCATCCAGCTATTGAATACTTGAATGTGGCTGATGTGACAAACTGAATTGACAGTTTTCTTCCTTTTAAATACAGCCACATGCAGCTGTGGCTATCATACTGGACGTCACAGATATCAAGTCAAAGAAATGTTCCTGGAGTTGACCAAAGGGAATGAATTTCACAAGCTGGACAGTGATAAAAACTGCACAGAAAAGCCAGGGCTTGGAACTGAATTCTTTGAGCAGGGAGTGCTACCCTTCAACACTTACTGCAAGTCTTAGTCATCATTTCATCGCTTTAAAAAAAGCAGTGGGTATTGCTTCCTTTTGATGATTTTTTCACTGACACTTTGTACAACAAAGTGTATAATATCTACACTTCGACAAGGAGTGGAGAGAAAATGAAAAAAACAGTACTAAATAGCTAAACTTTTAGAAAAGGCACAGATGAGATAAAAATAAAAGTAGGCTTACAGGTAACTTACTTTTGAATATATAAAGATTCTAGTCTTTTAAAATCTTTGCCAAAGCCTTTCTGCTTCATGAAATCTGTGACTTCTGGGTTGGACTCCCTTCAACAAAAACAGTGATTAGAAGTTTGATAAACTCATTGTCTTTAAAGCAGCATATATTCCTAACTTCATTTGAGCAGATTTGAAACTATTCAAGTGTGTAGGGAGAAAATGAGCCTAAAAAACTTTATTATGAGTTCTCCTAGTTTTCCACTGCAAATAATTTTTTCCCAGAAGCTGGTTTCTTCTGAAAATGGCTTTCCCTCTCTCATGCTTCTCTCCTCTAAGGCTACTGGCAGAGGATTTTTATTTGAAAAAACCTCCCCCGCTTAATCACTGCCTTTTCCCTAAAGCTGCTCTTGTTCACTGTAGTTTTTTTCAATCTCTACTATCTTCCACATCTTGATTCTCCTTCCTAAAAGCTTGTACTCTCGAGTTCTGTTGCTAACTTAAAACCTTGCCAAGCAGACATCTTTCCCCCAGTCTTCCCTTTTCACGTGGAGACCTCTAATACCTCCTTCAAATGCAATGGTTAAAAAATAAGGATTTTAAAGAACTGTCATACCAACATGTAAATTCCACTTCATCTCCTCCCAAGTGAACGAAGTGATCTGGAAACACGGTACTAACTTCTTTGAAAAACTGAGACAGGAAGCAGTAAGTTGAATTCAGAATAGGGTTTATAGGTCCAAAGGTCCCAGACTGCTTAGGTCCATTGTAACATGGAGTCAGGAGGTTTTTCTGACCTGGAGGAAGTATTTTAATCACAAAGACAGATGTGGATTTGCATGTGATTATACTTTCTTTTATTGAAGCTGTAAGATAATTTATATAGAAAAAACTAAGCACATTTACTAAGAGTCACTATGGTAACTTCTTCCAAATCAGATAAGGAATTGTTTCTTGAATCCTATCCCCTATACCTCTTTTTTCCCTTTCCTCTACTCTATTTTATCTACTTCAAATATCTCAAATATTAGTAACTCCCAAATCTTCAGCTCACCCAGACCATTTTTCTTGATCTTCAATCCATATTCCAGATTCCCTGTTCAACACAATTAGATATCCCAGGGCACTTCAAATACCATCTAACAAAAACCAAATTCTCTGTTCAGTAAGTTCCTTCAGTAGCGCCTCCTGATTACTGTTTTCTGGTAAGGGTGCTACTGTTCTCCTCCTCTGTAACTTTTCCTTCTTCTCCCACGGTTGACCAGTTGCCAAGTTCTCTGGATCCTATATCCAGAATGTCTCTCAGTTCTGTACCTTATTTTCCATTTCCATTATCACCATTCTGGTCTAGGACTTCAGTTTCCTTCCCCTTCCAATCTGTCATCGCTTCCTCACATAGGTTTTCCTGAAGCGTGGTCCCCATCATGTGATGCTTCTTCCCGGTAACTTTCAGTGGTTCCCATGTGTCCTGATGGAGCCCACATCGCTCACCCAAGGCCCTTTACATTGTACTTCAGCACATTCCCCAACACTGTCCAAGTCTACCCTGGTCATACTGGACAACTATAAATGCCAGCTGCTGTGCTGTGTGCTTCACATTCATTACTTAACCCTCAAGACAATTACATGATAGTTACTACATTGTAGAGATGGGGAAACGGAGATGAGACATTCTGTAACTTGTTCAAGGCCACGCAGTTTATAAAAGGCAGAAACAAGCTTCAAACCCAGGTAGTGTGGCTCCACGGCCAGTTCTGAAGCAGCTCGTAGTGCTTACCGCCCTTTGCTGCGCTCCACTCCCAGCCGATGCCGTGCCTGTTACTCCCTTTACCGGTTTCCTCTCTCAAAAGCGTTTTCAGTGTTCTTCTCATCCATGAAACCATTTCTTAAATTGACTTAGCATGCTCTACTTGTAATTTTTCTTTTAGCCCTTGTTTTTGTACTTTGGGCAGTGCCTAGCATAGTAACTTGCTCACAGTAATTGACTCAGTTCCACCTGTCAACAGTGCTGCCTCGGTGCAAACCACGATTAAGAACAAAATGAATAAACACCTGATCATAAAAGATGGAGGAACTCAGGTACTCACTCTTTGCAACTTAAAAAAGACACTCCTTACCTTTTCCCCAAGACTGTGTATGTCCAGGACTATCAAATTCTGGTATGACTCGAATCCCTCGTAATCGGGCATATTCTATCACCGTACGGACATCATTTGGTGTATACACATGAGACAAAGAATAGCTTCCCTATAAAAGCCATATTTATTAAAAAGTTTGGCATGTGTTTGTCTAGGACACTGTTAACAGTTCTGTTTGTACACTGGTAATGCAGAGGTGATTTTTCTAGTATCACAATGTATTAAATAGGCCTATGTGATGTTGGACTTTTTTTTTTAATTTTTCTTAATCTCCACATTTTTATTTATTCATTCATTCATTCCTTAGTAAGCTCTGCACCCTATGTGGGGCTCGAACTCACAACCCCAAGATCACAAGTCACATGCTCTACTCACTGAGCCAGCACGACGTCCCCGGAGGACTCACTTAAAATTATTTGTTTACCATAATCTTCTTAGTAAGCTCTCAGCACATTGTGGGTTAATTCCTGATTTACAAATAGATCTATCTCAACTAGCTCCTCTTGTTTCAGGAACATCTACCATCATGTAACCATACAACAAAATAGAAATAAAATGTT